TTAAATCGCCATCATTTTCACAAAAGAAATTTTGATTTCTCAACTTTGGTAAATAAAGCTCATAACTTGGCATAAACGAAATCTTTTTTAAATGTAATCTTTAAATGCAAATTCTAAATGCAAGGTTTTGAATCATTTTTACACATTGTCTCTGAATTTCATTTAGAATGATTGTAATTTCAGTAATATTTTTATTGAGACTCTATTCCTCTCAAAACAAGAATGCTTTTTTATTCCAGTATTGAAGAAAATTTTAAATTACCATAAAACCTTTATTTCATAACAGTACAAAATACCAATCAAGAAGAATGCTTTTTTATTTCAATTACCATAAAGCCTTTATTTCATAAAGTATAAAACACTTTATTTTGCAAAATATAAAAAATCACACGTTTACGGTGCAAAGGTAGAATTCTTAATGCTACTTACGATATAAACGAACTTATGCTGCTAGGACTGATAGAATATGAAAAACTTGAAAATATTGTACGTGAAATGAAAGAATACAATCCACATATATCATTAACTGGTATAAAATTCATCATTAAAATATAGTTAAAACATTTAATTCCTATTTAAGTCGTTTAGAACCCAAAATCCATTTGTCGCATTTTATATAAATCATTCTATTTTTTTCGCTTAGATTGCTGAACCTGCCCTCGGACTTTGAAGAATCGTTCCAAATAATTACATTATCTCAATATATAAAATTGCTCCTTTTTTCGTTTATGCAATGACCCTTATACCAAGTTTGATTTAAGACTGAATTTTGGTGCAGATTTAACAGAATATCCGATAGAAGATACATCACCTCAATATATTGAACTCTATAAACAATGTTGGACAATGGTCCTGCTAGCCGCCCAGAAACAAAAATAATAAATACGTTAAAGCAACTTATTCTTAACAAAACTTTGAGTCACAACATTTTGCCATACTTTTAATGTCTAATAAAATTGTACGAAATAAATGCAAAATTTTCTCAATTTAAAGATTGGCTTATTTTATCCGTTTATAGTATTCCAAAATAATATTCTAGTTTACGTTGAAATCGTTAAAACTATGAATGATACCAGGTACAATTCAATTATCCAATTTTAAAATATGGCGGATAGTGCATATGCTTAGAAGGTCGGCCTGAATTAATTATCCAGAATATCGATATTTTCTAAAATAAATTCACTACATCAAAATCTCATTTATTAATTCTCTTTTGCTGTTCAAAATGATTTTTAAATGCCTTCCATAATGTTGCTCATGATTTTTACACTCAAATTCATCCGTTAAATCGCCATCATTTTCACAAAAGAAATTTTGATTTCTCAACTTTGGTAAATAAAGCTCATAACTTGGCATAAACCTATCGATAAAATCTATAACTTGCTCATCAGTCATTCCCCCTTTTCCCAAATTTTTCATATTTCTTTCCTGCTCTAATCTCCACGGGTATACGTAATTAATATCTTGTACATCAAGATGAACAAATATATCGAGAAACTTGTACCATTCTCGTTCATAATTTTGCAAATTTTCGTTTATAGATGACAGATGGGAAAGTGTGTGAGATACAAGTTTCAAAGAAGAGGATTCATGTTCGGTCGCAATTGACTTTGATGAAAAATAAAATTTTTCAAGTTGCGATTTAGATAAATGTTTAAATCCAAGTGACCATCCCTCAACAAGAATAATTTCAAATGGAGGTGATACTTTAACCCATTTATCAACTTCCGCACGGTCTCCTCGACCATCATTCAAAGATTTATCATAAAAGGGTATTAGCACATCAAAATTACTTTCATCAAGATCAACATCTCTATCTTTGAGATTATTACATAGTCCTTTTTTTTTGAGAATAAATTTCATGCGTTCTACATAATCTATTTAAAACATCCTTTCCTAATGCGATATCATGAGTCCCAGGTTCTCCCCTAAATTCCAAAAGTTTGTTACTAGGATTTGAAAGTGCAAGTTGACATTGTTCTTTAAATGTTAAATAGAAATCATCAATAGAACAACTGACTACCGATAAATTATTGAAAACTTTTAAATGTTGTGTAATTTGACTAACTATTGTCGTTTTTCCTGGTAAGTATATTATCGTAATAAACCAAATTTGCATTAAATACTAAAATACTCATGTCGGATATTTTATACTTTTTTCATAAAATTAAAATATTCACCGCTCCCTTGAGGTCCACTTATACCAACAATTAAAGGCATTGAAGTTAATCCTGGTGTTCGACGTAATTTGTGGAAATGGCCTACGATAAAATTTGAGATAGCGTAAGCGTTCGGTGTTGAATTCATTGTTAGTTTCCTCTTTTTTCAATATTTGATACTGAATTTGTATGGACAAAATAATAAAATCTCGCCTTGGCGGATTCGTTTACTCCTAATTTGAATACATGGTGCGTCAATCATTTGACAGTTCAGATAAACCAATTAAATATTGTATTTCATCTAACTTCTGTGTTACCATTAAATTTTCATCGTACGTGCTATTCCTCTCATTATTTTTCTTATTGCTCTTATCATTATTATTATTATACGACAGGGTGAAATCCGCGATAATATATGTAAAACCCGCAATAAACATGCGAAACCCCCAATAATCATGTAAAACCACGACGACTATGTAAATTCACAACAAAATTTAAAAATTTAAACTTCTATATACATCTCGAAAACTCATATAATGTCGGAAAAGCTGCTTCAATTTATGACGATATATAAAATTTACTATGTATTAAAAAACATGTAACAAATCGTGTGACTGTTATGAAAATCTTGAATTTGGACGTTGAACATGGCAAAAATGACCTTGGGCATCAAAAAATGTATATAAAAGCATCCGATATTTATGACCTTGAATCTGGTACGTACGTACGTACGTACGTAAGGCTTAGCACATCTATTTATGGTTATCGAAGTAATTTAGCTAAAATTGCTTATTAACTTTATTATACCGATTCTGATTTATTATCACCAGTGATTGATTGATTGATAATACGTCAATTATCGTTACCAATTAAAAAATTTCATATATATATATTTAGATTAAATTTGACGTCAACTAAACCAAAAGAAAAATAATGTTACCTTTACGTAATCAGAACGCATAACTCAAACATCAGCTGACTTATCAGTATATACGTATTTGTGCAACCTTTTCAATTATCAAGTTGACCCCCTGAAACAAACATCCGGGCCACAGGCTGATGACTGCATATATAAACAATATGCTATTGTAAAATTGTGAAAATTGTGGGGTACGTAACTTTCAGTCATCATTTTTTTTTTAAATGGCTTGTTTTGAGTTTGAGTTGGATAATATAAAGAACCTTAAAGGAGTTGTATACACACCTCGATTCGAAACTCTGCCTGATATCTTTTGGCAATTAAGATTTGAGCCTGTAAGTTCAGATAACATAAAAAGCTACTTAAAATGAATAACAATTCAAAATATTTTAAATGATTCTTTAGACTTCTTCAACAGATCCAGAATATTGTGATGTGGCGCTTTTAGCTTTACGTAATTCAAATGAAATTGATTACTTCGATCCTGTCCGAAACCATTGTTTACCTGCCGAAATATATTTGAAAACTATTACTGGGTGGGTTCTTAGGATAGACGATACTGGTCCATTTAAACTTGATCATATTGTTGCCTGTCGATTGTGTGAGTTGTTTTAAAAGTATATATAATATATTAATAGAAGATTTTTCAGTACAAAAATCAAAAAATTTGTGACGAGTTTTTTTTTATAGATATAAATAGGTTCTGTAAAAAATCACATATCACAGACAAGATTATTTTTGGTGTCAAATTTCAGAAAATACAACTCGGTGTTATACGTTTTAATACTCCATTCCCAGCCAAACAAATTCCACAGGAATTGATATCTGCTTGGGCTAATGAACTGAACAGTTCATCACAAAATGATGTCAAGTTCACAATCCAAGGTCGATCCATTGTTGCAAAAAGTTGCATTCTTTCTAGAAGATCGGAATATTTCCGAAGAATGTTTTCGGGTACTTGGTCTGAATGTTTTCGAACTAAGAATTTAATTAATAATTCAATTAACGATCTCACCTCAAACCTTGACGATAAGTGCAGTATCAGTAAGAAAAAAGAGCCATGGTATCGTTACAAAATTGAAATAATTGATTTTAAATACGAAACGTTTTTTAAAATGCTTCAGTTCCTTTACTCTGATAGCTTTGCATACAACAATTTGGAGGACTTATGGGATATTTACAGTGTAGCAGACAAATATCTTATCACTGATCTTTTGAATCGAGCTAAATCTGAACTACTTTTAATAATGAGCTATGATAATGTTGCAGACATGTATTTTGGGAACGCATTCAAATATCCAGATTTGAAAAAAGTCATGATGGATTTTATAATTGAAAATTTTGGAGAGGTTAAAAAAACAGATGGGTGGAAAGCTGCATTTGAAAATAAATCCAGGTATCCCGCGTATCAAGAATTAAGGTCTGAAATATTTTCACAATTACCCTTTTATCACTTTGATTAAATTATGCGGATTTTTCTTAGAATTGGAAGTTTAGCAAATTTTTCTTAGAATTGGAAGTTTAGCAAATTTGTATTTTAGATTAGTGTATGCGGTATGTCTGTTTTTTTTAAGAACTGAGATTCATTGAGATAGTTTGTTAAATGCAGTGCAACTTTAAAAGACACTAAAATTTGAAATTTTTAACAAGTTAAAAAATTCAATTTTTTCTTTTAATTATCATTTTAAAAGATCGAAGATAAGGATAGATAATATTCATTTTGAAGTTTCCATAGATAAATAGAAAGAATCTTTGCATCTTGCGATCCATAATTTTACTACTTAGCCACATAATTGTGAAATTGTCTTAATTATGGCTTAGTTATACACCCGTAAAATTCAATAGAAGTGGATGGTAGTTTAACATATTCAAGAACTTCACATTGAATGAGTACATATAATACTTAACGAAAGGAGAAATTCGGAAGATTTGTGTATGGATGCCTACTTAAAGGCGTGATCAATTATTTTGATCACTATATTAATGTCTTAATGCTACGTATGACCACAATTGTTTCGTGAAATATATAATCCATCAATCCTTTTATTAGGCCAACCATTAAATTCCGCGGTAGAGCCAAAGGTAAATTTATTTATTTTACTAAGGTTTATTTTCTAATTATTAATAGGACGTCAAAATTAATAGTCTTGAACTTATGTTAATAAACTATTCAACTTTTTTTTTTTATCAGGATTATATAAAATGAATTTCATTATTGATTGCGCCTTTACTTTTGATAAGTTTTATGTAATCCTTATACCAATTCCAACACTGAATTTCAATGTCAAATTTCTCTTAACAATTCAAGAAAATAATATAATTTTATAACCTAAATTATTATTGTTATATATAGTATTGTTTTCAAATCTAAAGATAATTCTATATGTAGGTACAAAATAATCCGGCGATTTTTATCCAGAAAACAGATTTATTTATTCACCAATCATGATTATAAATGATAAATAACTTCAATGACTTCTGTATAACTAAAAATCGGTAATCCTATGATAACCTGCAGATCGTCTGTATCTTTCTATTAAAAAAGTAACGTTGTTAGTTAGGGCAACGTTAAAGAAGCACGGTTTATACCAAAATTTTTTTTGTTGAATAGTGTTTTAAGCTACCTGGTTTTAGCCAGTCAGCCAGCTGAATCAGCTGACTAAAGAATTCTTTTTTCAAAATTTAACTTGCAATTCTTGCTATATCGATATATTTATAATGCATTAATCAGCTGACCATATATCGGCTGGCTTAGCCGGCTTAGCCGGCTTAGCCCCCCGGCTTAAAACTTACATAGGTGGTTTTGTAAACGAAATTTGTATTACAGGAATTTTGTATTACACCTGATTCTGTATTGATTAAAGTTGATTTTAACAAATTAGTTTTGGATATATATGTTCTAAATTTAAAAAATTAATTATATATTAATTTGTTTTATTCTATATTGCTGTAGTATTATGGCACTATTGTAACTAATTAAAATTTAATAGTAACATGTAAATAACTCTTTTTTGAACGCCCCTAGCTTTTCTACAAAAAATAGTTTATTTTTTGTAATTTTGATTAATCAAATTTCAGAATTAAATATAATATAAAAACTATTTTTTTATAAAAAAATAAAAATAGTTTTAAATTTTAACTAAAAACCATCTGTGATTTAATTAAAAATATTTTTTAAAAAATTTTATTTATATATTATATTGTTCTAACTCTAAGCTTAACTATAATATAGTTTTTTTTAGTTTTAATTTTTTTAAAATAGTATTTTGTTAAAAATTTTTATTAATTATATATATATAATTACAAATATAATTATCTATATACAACTGATTAAATTTTAGCTTAGGTTTAATTTATTTTAAAATATACAATATTATTTATTTGATATAATTAATTTATTTTTTTTTTACTTCGCAATTCTACTTTTATTTTTTAAATTAACAGTATACTTATAGTATAAAATTCAGTTGGTTAAATCTACCATTTAACTATTAGATATTTCATACCTATACAAATAAAAATTCTTTTGATCTATTTTATTATCATAGTAGAATTATGGTAAACCAAAATTTTATACTAGTTTATAACTTAGAAGTGATTATCTAAATGAATATTTTTCTTCTTCTAGAATACTCAACTTGTTAAAAATATAAATCTCAAATATCAACAGATAGTTTTTACTAATTTTGTCAGAATTACTGCTTTACAATAAAATATTGCCAATTTGATAATATTTTCTTATAGAAAAATAAAAAAGAAAAAAAAAGTATAGATACAATAAAAAAAGAGTAAATAAAAACAAATATATAAAAAAAATAACTAAATTATAAATAAGTCTAAAGCTATTCTAAAATTTATAAGAACTTATCTACAAATAAAAAATCTGCTAACTAGATAAAAAAATATCTATATAGTTATAGAAGTCTATATATAAAATATATCTAATCAAACAAAAAACCTAATCTAAAATATACTTTAATCTATATTAAGTATTAAAAATTATATATATATAATTTAAAATATTGCATATCTCTAAATTATCACTCTAGTTTACAACTCTTAGGTTAATTCTATTTTAAATCCTAGAATATCTAATTTTAAAATTTTAATATATGATTGTTAATTTCAGATCTAACTTTTTTTAGAACAATTTCTCTTATAGTTTTTCTTTCAAATTTGGTTCTTTATTATTTTTGCTAGTACCTTCTTTTTGATTGATACTTTGTTTT